GAGGGCAGCGGGAAGGTGTGGAAAATGGGGGCTGCTGTAATTTTATTCTTGTAATGGGCCAATGCCTATTGTCCTGTGTGCGTACGTGCATGTGTGCTGTGTGCGTGCATGTGTGTGCGAGTGCATGTGTGTGTGTGCGTGAGTGCGTGTGTGTGTGTGTGTGTGTGTGTAAGAGAGAGAGAGTGTGTGTGTTTCTCTTCTCCCACCCGTAAGTTCTTCAAAATCATTAAAGGACCCAGGATTTCTTTCCTGCGTCCTCTCATCTCCAAGGTCAACTTCACCCTGTCTCCCATGAGCCTCCAGGATCCCATTCATCCACAGCCTCTGGAGGCATGGCAATGTGTGTACGTGACCCCTAAATCTGGGCCGTCCTGAATTCACCCTCTCACGGCCCCCCTGTGACGGGGGTCTGAACGACTCAGGATGGCCATTAACCTCCCACGGTCTGTTAGTGGACTCCTGCTAACACAGCTGAGGACTAGGGGTGCATTTCAACGCCCCCAGCACTGGTGACTGTGGTATTCTCCAGAGCAGGTACAACTCTGAGCCTAGGCACACGGAACACCAGGCAAGGCGGGGCCTCTTCACCTTGAGTTTGGGCAATTTCAGTTGAGTCCCTGAACCAAAATAGGCAGGTGGGTAGACAGATGGATAGTTAGACAGACAGACAGACAGACAGACAGATGATAGACTGGTAGCCATGACAATTTTCTAAACACATTTTCTCTGCAGATATCCGTTCCAACAACAAGACACTGAGCTGCACAGAAGTGGGGACAGCCGCTGGGGTGCAAGTCCACGGCCTTCTAGCACGTTCACAACAACTTCTGAGTCAGTGTGGGTATCTGACCAGTTGCAGTTCCCTTCAGGAGGTCAAGTTTCTCCATTTTGTCCTCGGGACAGCAGGGGGCTTTGCCAACATCCCACACAGTTGTAATACGCTGTTTGTGGTAGTGACTCGTCCAGTGGAAACCCTGATGGTGTTTGCCCAGTTCACCGGTCACCCCAGAGGTTCCAGTCCACTTCCATGGTGGAGCACCAGGTGGGTACAGTGGAGAGCCTTGTGTAGGGAGAATGTCCACCAGGAGCACTGTCCTTGAGACTGTCAAGGAGCCACATACCAAGGGATAACCAGGTCCAGAACAACTAGCCCACTGCATCTCCTGAAGACAAGGGTTCCATAATTGGGCAAGATCTGTCCTCTGTGAACCCATATGGACTCAGCAGTCTTTGTCAAGGATTCACTAATAAGAAAGTCTTTCTAGAATTTTCTAGGGACTTCATGCCCAGTCTTGCACTGTAAGCTTTATCGGGTTTATTCTTTGTAAAACAGAATGTCTTTCTTCCTGCTCGTCTATCTCAAAGTCACCGCCAAGGCTTGCACATCTCGCCTCTGTGTTCTTCCAGTCCTGGAACGTGGCCTAGGAGCCCAGAACTCGCCCTTGACATTCCGAGGCATGTCTGTGGAGCTTGGACATCCCTCTCCGTGGTACCGGGCTCATCCCTCCTGGATCAGGCTCTGGGCAAGCACAGACTGCCGGCATCTGGATTCTGTCTCTGCTACTTACCTGCAGAGGAACACCTTGGGCAGGTTTCTTGTAAAAACAGAGTAATGGGTTTTACCCCCTGGGGTTCCTTGAGAACCAGAGCCCATTTTGTGCATTAAAGCCCTTAGAACAGCAATGGCAAGGCCTCCCTCTGGGCAGCCTGTGCCACCCCGCTGTGCCCTTCTCCTTACTGAGGGAGATGGAGGCCAGTGGAAGGTGCCCATGTTTGCCTCTATCTGTGCCTTGCAACCTCTTTCCTGACCAGCATTATTTCTTCCTGCTATGAATACAGACTAAAACGCCCTTTGGGGCTGCTTTGGGGCTGCCTTTAATATTCACCTTCTGATCAGGACTTTCCTTTTTCCTTTGGTCCATCTTCTGGTTAAAACCTAAGCCTGGTAGAGAGTCCATGCAGCCTGCTGACATCTGGTTTCTTGTTGTTTGTTTGTTTGATGCCATGCATCCTCATGGGGATGATTCATTTTCTAAAAGCCCAGTTTCTTGATTAAAGTCTGCTAGCTGTGGTCCCATGAGGACAGTGACCACAGTGGTTGAGCTGGCCGTTGAAGGCAGGGGCCAGGGTACACATATGGTTTATTGTTCGATTTCATGTTTCCATAAAGGAATAGCTGAAGCAATTAGCTCAATAAAGAGAAAAGGTGTATTTGGCTCATGGTTCTGGAGGTTCAAGTCCAAAGTTAGGAGTCCTTTGGTTCTGGGCCTCTGATGAGGCCATCAGATGCCAGTGACAGGAAGTCGGGTTGGAGCAAACCACTCAGAGGGAGAAAGGAAGACTCTGTGGGCCCCACAATCCTTTCTGGGGCACTAAGACCTAAGGACCTCCCAAGAGGCCCCACCTCTTAAAGGCCCACCGCACCTTCTCATACCACCAGGGAGAGGACCAGGACTTTATAGACGGACCTCTGAGGGACACACATCTAAACTCTAGCAACAGCCCTGCCTCTTTCTGGCTGAGTGACCTTAGGAGAGTTGTCAAATTCTCTTGACCTTTTATGCTTCTGGGTGTGTCCAGAAGGATTAAATGAGATAGTGCCTACAAAGCTGAGAACATCAAACACACAGTAAGCCTGCAAACATGCTGGCTAGGGAGTCTCTCACTATTATTTGGCTCCAGGCCCACGTTTAACATTTTTCTCCCAAATTCTGGAAGTCTGTCTTCTTAAAGATAAGACTGAATTGTATATCTAAACTTCCTCTTCCAGGAAGACTTACCTGAAGCCCTCCCCTGCCTTCCCCCAGCCCCAGGTGTATTTTTGAGACATCACTTTGGTGACATGGGTGGGCCGCTGCCTAGATGCCCACGTCTTCTCTGCAATCCTCAGCTGTGTTTCCCTCCCCCCATGCCAGGGCCAGCCACAGAGCTGGTGGCTCGTTCCCTTCATGCTTTTTATCAAAGTCAAGACCATATAATAAATTCACCAGGGAAGAAATAGACTTATTTTCAAAAGGTCAGCCTCCCAAGTTATCAAAGAATGTAAATTAAAACAAGTTCCATTTTTCATCTCTGGAATTGGCAAAGATAAAAGGCATTGTGTACTCAATATCAGCAAAGGTGTGGTCAAGTAGGGGCGCTGTCACCCACCACCAGGGAAGGGTAGGAAAGCACTCACATGTACGTGCAAAGATGGAAATTGACTTGTTAAATCCATCATTCGACTCTAGGAAAATAGGTTAAGGCAATCACTGAAGTTGCAGCAACATAGTTATGTACGAAAATATCCATCCCTGTGCTACTTTTAATATGGAAAAATGGGAAACAACCTGGATGTCCAAGGATTGGAGATTGGTTAAATAAATTATGGTCCAGAGAAATGAAAAATATGTTCATATCATGGGAACTAAGCCAGCTGTAACGTTGAGTGGAAAGAATTAAGATATAATAGCATGTACTAGATTGACCATAAATATCATTTAGAACTGATGTAAAACGGAAGGCACTTTCCAAATGCTTCTGGTTACATTTGGATAATGAGACTGCAAGTCATTTTTATTTCTCTCTTTATAATTTTTCTTTTCTTTCCAAATTTTCTATGAAGACTATGGCTTTTATAAGTAGAAAAATACATGTATTCTTAAGCTGAATGATATATCTCTGTATATTTTGATATATGTATGTATGTGCATATGTTTGACTTCAAATCTAATCCTGCTTTCTTTCCATTCTGAGATATGAAACTGCAGAGCAGTCCTGCAGATGTGGAGAGGGGGAGTTCCCTAGCCCCTCTCTGATTCCCACCCCAATCACATGTATCTGTTCTCCCTCTTGAGCTCTCTTCTCCCACCGCTTCCCATCCAGAGACTAGGCCATCACAAAATCCTCAATGATGGATCCAGGATTCTTGCTCCGGGGACTCTAGTTGTCTGGTGGAGCCTATGGGCTCCCTTCTCCAACCAGCATGTGTAAAATGAAACATGGGCCCCTAGGCCTCCGTGTGTCCCTCTGCAAGTAAGGTAGGCAGCTACTGCAGCTTTCTGCTCCTTTATATCTACCAGGCTTAGGAAATGATCCCCTTGACCTTCACAGTAAGTCTGCAAGGTCAACATCCTTGTTTCCACCTCCATCAGCAGAATGGAGCCCAGTGGGGTCAGCACAGATGACAAGATGAACCTCCTCTAAGACCCTGGTCCCACACAGCAGAGTGCAACCCAGAAAGGGATGCTCTTCTCCCTCTAGGGTGGCTTAGAAGACCTAGCAGAGGTCTCCCAAAGGAGAGAGGCTGCCTGAGGGTGGAGCCAGTCCAGAGGGAAACGGAACCTAGGGGAGGTCAGAAACAAAGGCAAGGCATTTGTGGGGACCTCTACCCAGCTAAGCCTGAAATGGGATCCTGACTTTCCAATTACATAAATCAGCACATTACTGTGCTCTTTTCCTTCTCTCCCCCTGCCCTCTGTTTTCTTTAGCCAGTCTGATGTAACTCTCTGCCACCAGATGTACATATTAAGTCAGGCATGGATTATACCGAATTACAGATGAGGAAACTGAGATAGACCAGAATAATCAAATGACTAGCAGGTGGAAGAGCCATGACATGAATCCCACTCTTTCTGACCTCAGAAGCTTTCACCACAATTGCACAGAAACCAAGGCGAAGGCCAAGTGCCTTCCTCCTTGGACCTCTTTCCACCAAGAGGTCTCCTCATTGCTCTTGTAGGACCCCCAGCTGGGCTCCTTCCAGAACGTTCAGAGGCTCCAGACCAAGGACCAGCAACCACAGCCACTGAAGGGCACAGTTCTGCTGCACACATACCCTGTGCAGGTCCTTTTCTTAGATTTGTAGTAATCTATCTCCTTTTACTTGCATGAATGGTAAGGTGAGCCCCACAGGCACCCAGGGGGAAAGGGGTACAGGTGGCAACAGATCAAAACCCTGGTGGTCCCCTCCTCCTTCCCGCCAGTTGCAGCCCCTGCCTCTGCCACAGCCACTCGCTCACCTGTAGATCAGTACCTCATCGTCGGAGCAGTTGTACTGCAGCTGGTACATCTTCACCCGCGGCGCCGACTTGCTGACCGACCACTTGACCAGGGCCGAGGTGGTGGTCACATCGGACACCAGCACAGCCCTCTCGGGGGTGCTTTTAGAAGGCTCCCCGCCCCCGCTGCCTCCACCACCTCGGCCGGTCTTGCTGGAGCCCGTGATGTCCGAGAGGCGGGACTTGGGGGGCGCCGTGCGGCTGGTGCTGTTGCTGAGGTGTGGCAGCTGGACAATGGATACCTCCACGGTGGCCGTGGCCTCCCCCGCAGCGTTGGCGGCTATGCAGGTGAAGGCGCCGCTGTCCTGAGACGTGGTGATGAGGATGTCCAGGGTGCCGTTGTCATATACAGCGGTCCTTGAGGAATTGCCCACCAGCCGGTCATCGGGGGCTACCCAGTGGATAAGGGGACTGGGGTCCCCGATGGCCTTGCACTTGAGCGTGGCCGCCTGGCCCTCCAGGACCAGCAGCTTGTGTGTGTGCTGTGTGATGAGAGGCGGCTCACACACAAACTCCTCCTCACGCACGTGCCAGAAGTAGCGCCCCTTGAGGGCCCCCGGAGAGCCACAGGTCTCCAGGTCATCATCCCTCTGGAGCCTCCGCAGCCAAAGCAGCTCGCAATTGCAGTGCAGCGGGTTCCCCCCGAAACTAAAGGACAAGGGCGGGGCAAAGGGCGTGGCGGTCAGAGCAGAAGCCTGGGAGCGGGCAAAGATGGGATCTGGGGGCAGCTTCTGCAGCCTGTTGGAGGTGAGGTCCAGGCGGGCCAGTTTCTGCAGGTCGGCAAAGGTGCCCTCGGCGATGTGGTCCAGCAGGTTGTGGTCCAGGCTCAGCTGGTGGAGGTTGACCATGCGCCGCACGGAGTCCCAGGGCAGGCCATGCAGATTGTTGTAGGAGAGGTCCAGGTCCTCCAGCGTCAGCAGGAAGTCCTCGAAGGCGTCATCCGCGATGCCACCCAGCTGGTTGTTGTTGACGATGAGGTGCTGCAGGTTGACCAGGCCCCGGAGGGTGTCCTCTCCCAGGCTGGGCAGCCGGTTGCTGTCCAGGTGCAGGGAGCGGAGGCTCTCCAGGTCCAGGAAGGAGAAGGGCTGGATGTGGCTGATGGTGTTCCTGGACAGAGTCAGGTCCACCAGCCCCGTCATGTTGGCGAAGTCCTGGCGGCCGATGTGGATGATGAAGTTGCCACCCAGGCGCAGCTCCACTGTCCTCCGGTCGATGTCGGGGGGCACGAAGAGCAGCCCCTTGGAGGGGCACAGGGTCCCCAGTGACTCAGACAGGTTCTGGCAGACACAGTACTTGGGGCAAGCATCGACCACGGCAAACGCCATGCCAAACGCCAGCAGCCCACCAAGCAGGGTCTCCATGGTCTGGTCACTCGGCCTTGGCGCCTGAAAGGGAGGCACAGAAGGTCAAGGTCAGGAGGTGACTTCCTAATGCCCTCACAGAGCTTCCTCCCGCCCCCAACCCACTGCCTCAGGGAGAGGCAGAGGCTGCCCGTGCCCAGGCGAGCTCTCCTGCCTTCTCATTCAGTCCCACTAACTCAGGTCTTAGTTTTCTTCTTTCCTTGGTTCTTACCGTCTTCTAACATCCTATTTAATTTACTCATTTATTGTGCTTATTGATTGTTTCCTATACCCGCTGCTAGAACTCCAGCTCCATGCTCCATGAATTGCTGTATCCCAAGCATCTAGCACAGTGCCTGGAAAACAGTTGGTGCTCAACAAATATGTGTTGGATGGATGGATAGATGGATAGATGAGTAGGTGGATGGGTGGATGAGTAGGTAGATGGAT